CATAATATTTGATGAATAAAGATGAGAAAGCTCGACTACAAGGTTTCAGCACCCGTTAAAACGTACTTAGAAACGCTCAAATTGGAAGTCTTACCCCACCCGCCGTATAGCGCAGAGATAGTTCCTTTCCTATAATTATTTCTTCCGACCAATGCAACATGGCCTGACTGACCAGCACTTCTCCAATTACAATGAAGTTAAAAATGGATCGATGAAAATGGATAGCGGCCAAAGAGTCTGCATTTTTCCGCGATGGGATCCGTCAATTATCAGAAAGATGGGAAAATGTAGTGTCTAGCGACGGACAATACTTTGAACATTAAAATTCTAACCATTTTTTAAAATGAAGCTTCAATTTCCGAAAAAACAAAAATAAATGCTTATATTAAAATTAAATACTTGAATTACTTAAATATTTCGAAAAATTCTTAATTAATTATAAAACCACTCAATAGATGGCAGTACATTGTCTGTTTCTCTGATATCTTACTTTAAATACGTAATCTCTTTCTTGGCAAATTTCTGTCGCACTACTTCATTTTTTAGCATTGCAAATTGTGTAGAATTATTATATATGTTTTTCAATATTTCAACAGTTTATAAATGTCGTGTTTTCCACCTATTGGTTTCTTCAAATCTCATACCATAAAATATAAGCTTTTATTGACAAATTCAGCTCTCTTCCACACAGCACCATAACCATATATCTATTATTTTATATTTATATACCTCTTCTTTTCTCTCATGCAATATATACATATTTACATATCTTTTGCAGTTTTCTTTTTTAAAAAGACCAAATCAAAATATTGAATCACTACAATTGGCACTTGCATTTTATGACATTTGAAAATTATCCCGCATGTGTTTCTTTTAAACGAAAAATCGATATTTATTTTTAAGGAGAAATAACGATTATTTCTAACCTTAGAGATAAACTATGAAAGGATGAATTGTGAAGAGTACTGATAAACGGAAAAATTAAAGTGTCCAGGGATGGGAATCAAACCCACAGTGTTTCTCTTATCGGGCAAATGCCATGTTTATTAGGCTACCCTGAACATTTTATGTTTTATATATTTCAGTTTTATTACATTCTCAGATGTGACTATAGAATGGTTATCCAAAGAGGGTTTTATAAAATAAAATAAAAAACCTTAATTAAAGACGATGTCTCCATATAGGATTCTTCAGGGCATAATGTTCCTGCCAGAGGCCAAACCCCTCTTCTTTGTGGCGGGCGGGAGAAGCAGCACAAGTAAGGGACTGCCCTGTAGGGTGAAGTATGATGGGGACTTCGTGAACCCCGAGCCTTGGTAACCGTGGAGGCCTACAGGGAACTCTAAAATGGGGCTGACAAACGAGGCAATGGCACCCCCCATTCCATGGACCACATATACAGTTGCCTGGCCATCCTTGCAGCCTTCTATATGGCAGACCTCAATCCAGAAGAGGACATCCATACAAACAAGGCACCTTTGTTGGTTGGTATTGTGATCAAGGTGCAGGGACCAATCTGATCTGCTCCATGGATAAGACACCACCACTACCTCAGTTGGCTGGTATTGTGATCAGGGTGCATTGACCGACCTGATCCGCTCCATGGACAAGACACCACCACTACCTCAGTTGGCCGGTATTGTGATCAGGGTGCATGGACCGATCTGATCTGTTCCATGGACAATACACTACCTCAGTTGTCCGGTATTGTGATCAGGGTGCACGGACCGATCTGATATACTCCATGGACAAGACACCACTACTACCTCAGTTGGCCGGTATTGTGATCAGGGTGCATGGACCGATCTGATCTGTTCCATGGACAAGACACTATTTCAGTTAGCCGGTATTGTGATCAGGGTGCACGGACCGATCTGATATGCTCCATGGACAAGACACCACCACTACCTCAGTTGGCCAGTATTGTGATCAGGGTGCATGGACCGATATGATCTGTTCCATGGACAATACACTACCTCAGTTGGCCGGTATTGTGATCAGGGTGCACGGACCGATCTGATATGCTCCATGGACAAGACACCACCACTACCTCAGTTGGCCAGTATTGTGATCAGGGTGCATGGACTGATCTGATCTGTTCCATGGACAAGGCACTACCTCAGTTGGCCGGTATTGTGATCAGGGTGCATGGACCAATCTGATCTGCTCCATGGACAAGTCACCGCCACTACCTCAGTTGGCCGGTATTGTGAGCAGGGTGTATGGACCAATCTGATCTGCTTCATGGACAAGACACCACCACTGCCTCAGTTGGCCGGTATTGTGATCAGGGTGCACGGACCGATCTGATATGCTCCATGGACAAGACACCACCACTACCTCAGTTGGCCAGTATTGTGATCAGGGTACATGGACTGATCTGATCTGTTCCATGGACAAGGCACTACCTCAGTTGGCCGGTATTGTGATCAGGGTGCATGAACCAATCTGATTTGCTCCATGGACAAGTCACCACCACTACCTCAGTTGGCCGGTATTGTGAGCAGGGTGTAAGGACCAATCTGATCTGCTTCATGGACAAGACACCACCACTACCTCAGTTGGCCGGTATTGTGATCAGGGTGCACGGACCGATCTGATCTGCTCCATGGACAAGACACCACCTCAGTTGGCTGGTATTGTGATCAGGGTGCACGGACCAATCTGATCTGCTCCATGGCCAAGACACCAGCTCAGTTGACTGGTATTGTGATCAGGGTGCACGAACCAATCTGATCTACTCCATGGACAAGACAACACCACTACCTCAGTTGGCTGGTATTGTGATCAGGGTGCATGGACCGATCTGATCTATTACATGGACAAGACACCACCACTACCTCAGTTGGCCGGTATTGTGATAAGGGTGCACAGACCAATCTGATCTGCTCCATGGATAAGATACCAACACCATCAGAACATAATAAGAATATTATTCTATAGACTTTTAATGTTGAAGTTATACATTGTTTAAAGAAGTAGACCTTTGGTCTATCAAACCTTTTAAGAAAGGAATAAAGTGAGCAAAGTGAATGAACGATCATTGGGATATAAATAGAACGTCTAAGAGGAAACCGAGTCCCAACTCTTATCATATTAAATTATATATATAAATTTAAAGTTAATTACATTATAAATATATTTTAAACTATGGTGAATTTATAAATGGAATTTGATTAGAAAATTAATTATTCAACTACTATTGCAATTTATATATATTATATATTAAAAATATTATTTTATTTTAAATTATAATTTGATATATTCAAATACTCTGCTGAATCGACCGCCAGAGGTCACTCTTCCCCTATAAAAACTCGTTGTTGTTTTATCTCAATGGCCGGCTCAAATCTTTTGTATATTAGGTAAATAATATTTTGTTTTTCCTTGTTCTATTCGCCTTAAGCCAGGCAGTACTTTTATCAAATTATGTTTATTATATAATCCTAAAGCTCAATTAAAACAATCTCTTATCAAAACTATTTTTGTAATTATACTGTTACGACTTTTCTCAGCCGTCGATGTTTGCGTGCAAGGTTTCTGAGAAGACAATGTGGGTTCGTTTTGGATACAGCTTAGTACTATAGATTTATGAACTTGCCTTCAATGCCGCCCCAGGTAGGTTCCTCCTCGTCCTCCTCTTGTTAATCCACACAGTCTCGGAGCCCACTTCCTCCAGCCAACTTGCCGCGTCTCTCGTCACCGCCGTTCTCTTTCACTCCCCCGCTTCCTCCCACATTGGAATGTCGTCTGGACTTTGTCTACCCCCAGACACGTGGGCTATCCTCCCGCAGCTGGAATCCATCCACCTTTCCACAACTTCACACTGGGACCTCTGCCTCTCTGATATCTTGTCATACAGTGAGGAAAGAATTACCCATATTACACTGCCCCCCTTCCATTAATTCTTTTCGTCCCGAAAAGGACTGACTTCCCCAGCAGCGCTGATCAATGGCTCTTTGAACGGGGCTAGTTTGTTGAAATGAACAACCTTTGGTTTAAAGCGGGATGAGCGTTGTATCCTAAATACGACATCGTTTAACTTCTTCACAATTCGAAAGGGGCCTTCCCAGGATTTTTGTAGCTTAGGCGAGAGACCTTTCTTCCTTTTCGGGTTGTACAACCAGACTAGTCCTCCCTCTTGAAGGTCGTTCCCGCACGCTTGGGTGTCATACCTCCCTTTCATTGCTTCGCTTGCAATCTCTAATTTCTCTCTGGCCCATTGATGCACTTTTTCAAGTCTTGAATGGAGACGGTCAACAAATTTATTCAAGCCTTCCCCAATACTATTGGGGCATCCAAAGATGAGATCACAGAGAAGCTTTAATTCCCTTCCAAAGAGCATCTTGGCCGGCGAGTAACCCGTGGTTTCATGGACTGAGGATCGGTAGGCCATCAGAAGAATAGGCAGTTGACTGTCCCAGTCTCTTTGGTTCTGGGCGACGAAGAGACTAAGTTGACTGGCTAAGGTTCTATTAAATCTTTCGACCATGCCGTCGGACTGGGGGTGTAAGGGAGTGGTCCTTGTTTTATGGCTTCCAAGTAGTTTACACATTTGGGCAAAAAGTTTCGACTCGAAATTTCTCCCTTGGTCAGTGTGGATCTGCATGGGGACACCGAACCTACTGAAGAACTGGCTGATTAAGGTTTCAGCAACTGTTTCAGCTTCTTGATCAGCAAGCGGAAATGCTTCATGCCATTTGATGAAATAATCCATTGCAACTAGGATATAGCGGTTCTCCTTGTCACTTCGCAGCAATGGTCCCATGATGTCGATAGCGATCCTCTCGAACGGAGCTCCCACGTTGTAAGTCTTGAGTTTGGCTCTCGATCTTGTCTTTAGTCCTTTTCTGGAAGCACATTCCGTACACTGTCGTACCCATTTTTCAACACTGGCACGGCATCCAGCCCAGTAAAAGCGTTCTTTCACTTTTCCCAATGTCTTTGTAATCCCAAAATGTCCTCCGCTGGGGCTATTGTGCAGCTCTTTGAGGACGGAAGGTACTCGTGATTGGGTGAAGAATCATTTTCCATTCAAAATGCTGACCATCATCACTCTCCCATTTCCGGTAGAGAACACCACCTCGAAATTCCAGCGAGTCCCATAAGGACCAATAGCTCTTGGTGATTGGGCTGCAGGATGCAACATCTTCCCATGCTGGCCTGTTGGTCCCGGCATTGAGCCAATTCATGACAGGCCGAAGATCAGCGTCTTCAAACTGAGATTTTCTCATTTCCTCGAGGCTCCATTCGTCTAACTTGAGTTCTTCCGCGAGGGAAAGCTGACGAATATTGAGCTCAGCTTGTGTCTCTGCCTTGGAACAATGCTTGCAGTTCACTGGGCATGGTCGCCTCGAGAGAGCATCTGCGTTCCCGTGAGATTTCCCTTTCCGGTGTTGAATCTCCATGTCATACTCTTGAAGTCGCTGAATCCATCTAGCTAGCTGTCCCTCTGGGCTCTTGAAGTTCAACAGCCATCGTAGAGCTGCATGGTCTGTTCTAAGAAGAAACTTCTGCCCGTATAAATAATGGTGGAAATGCTCAATCGATTTGACGATTGCCAGCAACTCTCTGCGGGTTACACAGTAGTTTCTCTCAGGTTTGGACAGGGTCTTACTGAAGTAAGCGATGACACGTTCGACTCCATCTTGGGTTTGAGATAGAACGGCTCCAATCCCAGTGTTGCTGGCATCTGTGTCCAAAATGAATGGCTCGCCTGGATCAGGGTAGGCTAGCATCGGCGGAGAAGACAGGGCCTGATTCAGTTTATCCATCGCCCTTTCGCAGTCAACAGCCCAACTGAAGGGGCGGCCAGACTCCTTTAATCGGTGCAAAGGTCTCGCGATGTTTGAAAACCCCGGAACAAATCTCCTATAATAGCTGCACAAGCCTAGAAAACTTCTCAATTGGTGTACATCCCTTGGTACAGGCCATTGCCGAACAGTCTCAGTTCGGTCTGGATCAGTCTGTATTCCTTGGCGCGAAATCACATGGCCCAGGTAACGAACTTTCTCTTTGAAGAGTTTGCACTTTCTCGGATTCAACTTCAATCTTGCCCCTC